TACCGACATGCACTCCAGATGGAAGGATGAATATTATTTTACAAATAAATGCTTTTGAGAATCTATAAAAGCTTCCCTCTTCAAACAAAGAAAAGATACAGGTTGAAATTACTCTCCCTTTGTGGATCTAGGCTATACTCCTAAAGTTTTCCACCAAAATCAAGACATTTAATGCATCCTGCCCAGCGTATGTATACCCCTCCCTCCACTAATCTGATTAAAATAGGTTACACCCTCTCCCTGCTGTCTCTGACACTTAAAAGTTGCTTGAACCAATCAGATGAACATGACTTGATTTGGTTTAGGCAAACAACTGGGTAGAATGCACATAATAATTACTTATACTAACTGAGCTAGGCTTTTCAGATTCTTCAGCTAATAACACTTCCTAGTAGGAAGGACCATTGAGAAGGAGACGGAGCTATGAAACTCTTGCCATGCACTGATTTCCAGCACTAAAGACAAACAAACTGTATTTGACGGAAAAACTATATTTTTAAACCAATACCTATGCTTACTGAAGGCCACTTAAAACAAAATAATTTTAAGTATTTAGTCCTATTGTTTATGTACAATATTATAGAAAAGCAATGGAAAATTCAGAAATGAAACTTTCTTCCCTACTCAAAAGTAGTGCAAAACTATTTTTAGGCCACATGATTTTTTTTTCCCTCTTCTTCTCAGATTCTGACCATTAATCCAGCCTCAAGTCCTGGGTGTTTGTTTATTTATCCTATCTCTGACTCAAGTGGTTAATTTTTAAATTATTAAAATATAATTAGCTTACATTGGTATATTAGTTTTAGGTGTACAACGATTCAACAATTCCACACATTTCTCAGTACTTATCATGATATGTGTGTTCTTAATTCCCTTCATCTATTTTACTCATCCCTCCACTACCCAGATCACCTCTGGCAACCACCAGTTATTTTCTCTGTATTTAAGAATCTGTTATTTTTTTGTCTTTTTGCTTCTTTAGTTTCTTTCTTAAATTCTACAGATGAGTGAAATCATATGGTATTTGTCTTTCTGTGACTGACGTATTTAACTTAGTACTATACCCTCTAAGTTATCCATGTTGTTGCAAAAGGCAAGATTTCATCCTTTTTATGGCTGAGTAATATTCCACTGTATATGTGTGAGTATGTATGTGTGTATATGTATACATATATATATATATATACATACATACATATACATATATATGTATACACACACATACATACACACCTACACATACCACAGCTTTTTTATCCATTCAGCTACCAATGTACACATTTGGATTGCTTCCATATCTTGGCTATTTAAATAATGCTGCAGTTGGGGCATCCAGGTGGCTCAGTCAGTTAAGCGTCCGGCTTTGGCTCAGGTCATGATCTCAAAGCTTATGAGTTTGAGCCCCACATCAGGCTATCTGCTGTCAGCACAGTGTCTTCTTCAGATCCTCTGTCCTCCTCTCTCTGCACCTGCCCCCAACACCCTCTTTCCCTCCCTCTCAAAAATAAATAAACATTACAAAAATTATAAAAATAAAATAAAATAAAAAATGTTGCAATAAATATAGGAGCGCATACATATTTTCAAATTAGTGTTTCTGTTTTCTTTAGGTAAATACCCAGTAGTGAAATTACTCAATCATTTGGTGACTCTATTTTTAATTATTTGAGGAACCTCTATATTGTCTTCTATATTATTTTTAATATGAGATACAATTGGCTCTAGAAACGTAATCACATAATGCTTCAAATACCACACCCCCTCAAAATTCTATAAAGTGTTCTTGAACCCCAAACACCTATGACAAGTCTAGAACCAATGGTCAAAACTACATCATCTGGAATTTTGTTAGAGTTAATGGAACATTCTAAATAAAAACATATCAATAGCAGTTCACCTAGGTCATTTGAGGATGTTTTAATTTTAGAATAACCAAACTTGGGGACTTGTTCCTTTTGAAACATAAAGTGAATCTAATAAGACTTGTTTGATTTCTTGAGAAACAGTATGATAGAGGAGGGAACATAGGATTTAGCTAGACTTGCATTTGAGCTCCAGATTTCTCTGTTATGTGACTTTAGTCAAGCAGCTTAGGTTCCAGATGCTCATTTTCTTCTCATTAAAATGTCATAGTAACAATGCTGATGTTACAGAATGTTGGGTCCTGGTGGTACCTCTGTAAATGCAAGTGTGAGAACCAAAGAACACCTTTGGTTCTTTGAAAAAGCAAAGACTTTTTAAAATTTTGCCCTTCTTTACTTACAGATTCATTCTCATAGCAGTTCCCAAAGAAAGGCTCAGAAATATTTTAAGCAGTACCACCTACAATGAATGAATGCATAACACCCAAAGGTATGACTTTGTAGACAGGGCTCATTTGGATGTATAAGCTCTGGTTTACTTGCTAAAAATACCATGGGGACCACTTAACAAGATTAACAACAGCAGCAGCAATAGCTACCATATGGATGCCTACACCACTAGGATGAATGCCTTACATACATTAATGATGTAGATTAATTCATTATTCCTCCCTAGCAACCAATGAGATATACATTACATCATCTGTATTTTACTGCCGAGAAGGTGAAATCATGGAGATTAAGAAAATTTCCCAAGGTCAAAATATGTGAATATCAGAGCTGAGATTTTTTTCCAGATGAGGAAATGTTAATGTAATTACTGAAAGAAAAATATTTATGCTACAATTCTTCTTCTTTCTCCATTGTGAGGTTTCCCAAAAGCGGGTTAGGATCTATTATAGCTCAGAGAGACACAGGAGAAAATAGCATGACACGCAAGGGCAGTGTGCCTCCATGGAGTCACTCTTGAGAGGGACCCATGGAGGACTGAAATTCATATTCTGAACATTCAAGCTGACATCAATATGTCACGCAGAATAATTCTGAGGGGTCTACTGTATATATTGCTATGACAATTTTGCTGCTTTGTGGTTAATAATTGAAAATCATTCTTCCCAAGTGTGAAAATATTCTCTGTTTCCAAAGGGTCAGAAGTGCCACAGGTAGGACTCTGACGTTCAAATGAAATTCCGTTTAGCATATCCCATTTTAATGATTCTCATTGAGGTCAAGCTTTCCAAGGCACACATTCAGGGATGCAGAGTAGCTAGGGTGTGGCTGCAGCTATCTAGCTGGCTTGCAGATAGCAGTGATAGTGCTAGTAGAAAGTGAGGAAAAAACATGACTTCCAGCATAAAGCGAGCTTCAAGGAACAGGCTGGATGAAATGAGGCTGGATGAGATTGCTGGGCAGGAACAGCTGTTCTGCACCCATTTGGACTTACTTCTGTTATTTGACACCAGAAAAGCCCAAATGCAACTCTGCCATTGTCCTGCCAAGTTCATAGGCTGACGCTTGAGCCCTTAGCTTTGTCTTTTAACCTGGAATGGATTATGAAAATGTCTAAATTGAACTTCACCTTTTGATTGTCCTGCAAATGAGGAATTCATCCAACTAGGATCAGCATGGGATCACTAGTGGGATCCCCATGCCCAGAATTGAGATGCTTTTTTGACTCTCCTAAAGGGACCATGTTCAGGGAAATGGTGGAACTATTTAATGCTTACTATGGGGTAGGCACTGAAGAAAGTCTAACATTCCTGCTCTCATAGCACTTGTATTCTACTGAGGAAAGACAGACAATAATAAAGCAATCAGAAAACATGATCACTCCATGTGGTGACTAATACTAAGGCAATGAAATAGGGTAGGTGTCAGAGTATCAGGGTGTAGGTGAGATCAGGTGGCCTTAGAAAACATTCTGAGAAGCTGAAATTTTTGCTGAGATATGACTATCCAGAGGTGCCAGCCATGCTGAGATTTGGAAGAAATTTTGTACTTGCTGTTGTTGTCTTTGATAGGAATAAGCTTAGATTAATTAAGGTACAGAAAGGAGATGATAGCGTGGCTGCAAAACAGTGAATGGGGGAAGAATGGTAAGAAATCAAGGCACAATGGTAGCAGGTCAAACAATGTAGAGTAGATCAAGCCAAGGAAGGAAGCTTGCATTATATTTTATGGAAGAGAGGAAGCCACTGGAGTGTTTTAAGCATAGGAATGGTAATATCTGATTTGGGTTTTTACAATCTAATTTTGGTTGCTGTGAGGAGGATAGGTTTTAGTGCAATAAAGGTGGAGGTGGAGAAAGTCTGTAGACTGTGGGAGTGATCCAGGTCGTGGCAGACATGCGCAGAAGTACTTTGGGGTAGAATGTGTTCTGGAGGTAAACTCACAAGGACTTGCAGATGGCCTGGACCTTGGGGCAAAGGAAAGGGAAAAATCAAGCTCTCCAAAGATTTTTGACTTAAGCAACCACATTTTTTATATAATTTGGAAAAATTGGTCTGGGAAGAGGGGTTCAAGAAGAGCTGGAAAATTGCTTCCAAAAGTAAAGATTCAGGAAGAACTTCACTTTGGCCACATTGAGTCTGAAATCCTTATTAGCAATTCAAGGGGACAGAGAGGCTGAGCATGTACATGGACACACATGTCTCCATCCTAGAGGACAGTGAGGCCAGAGCTGGAGGTAAATACTGGAAATTTGTGAATCGTTGGCTAATAGGTGAGACTTAAAATTGTTCTCTGTGATTGTCATTACAGGGAGAAAAAAATGATGAAAGGAGAGAGTTCAAATGGAAGATCACAGTTTGAGCTACTGTATCTGGAGGTAGCTGTCCAAGGTGGTAACTCTTTGAGCTTTGTCAGTGTCCAGACCAACCTCTCTGGTACTTGCCCAGGGCTGCTAACTGAAGATGAGAAGTTTCCTCAAACATATTGCTCTGACAGAACAGTGACCTCTCCTGTGAAAATGTCTCCTCCGTCCTCCTTCTAGGGGAGCAGACTTCCCATCATGCCCAGGAACTGGAACAGTCTGGCCCATAGGCCAGAAAACACACCTCCCACCTGTGGGTCATTACTCCCCTTTCCCCAGCTCCATCTTCATCCTCATCCCCCAACAAGTAAATGTTTGGGACTCACCATTCAAAGTCCCAGTCAGCACAGACACAGGGTTCTGAAATCACTGTCCCTGAGGATTCTCGACCCAGGGCACACTGAGCTCCTGGCTTGCGTTTCTTGAATATTTTCCTTTCTCCCATAACACAAGGCTCCCCCTTAGAAAGAAAGTCCACAGTGAGAAAAGAAGAAAAACACAAAGAAGGTGAAATAAGCCAGCTTCCTTATTAGAAGCACTCACCTTTTCATTCTCTTTTGGTCACACTGTCTAGTAATCTCATCCCCAGTAACCATTCAGGAGTCTCAAGGGGGAAAGGGCCGGTATTTAACTACCACACAAGAGAAACACCATGGAGTAGGCTGGCTCCTGGCTACCTCCCACCCAACTTAGCCAAAGAGGTCTACTTCATCTTGTTTCTCTTCCACCCCTGGAGAGAAGGCAAAGAGTCTAAGTCATCATCACAGACCTCCACATTGCCCAAATGATTTCAGCAGAAACTGTGATGGAAAAGAATCCAACTCTGGCATATTTTTCATATAATCTCCAGAGTGAAACTGAAATTTGGCTGAAAAGTTCACTCTCTATGATAAATAATCATGCCCAAGTCCTTACTCCCAGTCAAGGGCAAAGAAAAGATGAGAAGCTGGTGCAAATGACACGAGCCCAATAGTTCTGAAGCATGCAGTCTATCTATGTTGCAAAGCAACAAATATCTACCATTTCTAGAGCCACTCACCCTCATCCCTCATCCTTTCTCTGTGGCCCTGTTTCCAGAGCTCTTGGGGCTCTTACTGAAGGCTGGCCTGACAAATGTTCTCACTCTCTCCACTGACAGGTGAGATGATGAAACCATTGGAAGGCCTCCTGGCTATCTGGATGTATTTCTCCACGTACAGAACTAAAGCCCCAGGTAATAATTGCCCCCTGGGGCAATTATTGGCTACTCAATCATCTCAATGGGTTGACCAGAATCCCAGGGTGCATAATGGTCCTCAATTGACTGCTCGATCATCTCAATTGGTTGATCAGGATACCAGGGTGTAAAATGGTCCTGAAATACCATCTTTGCATGCTTAACTTGTGTGTGTGGACTCCAACCCTTCCCCCAAATCCATCACTATCTTCTGATGCCCCACTACCTTCTCCCTCTAAATAGGAAGGTCAAGAGATGACCAGATAGGGCTGTGGTAGCTCCTCTTCCTAGAAGCCAGTGTGTCCCACCACATGATGTACCTGATTGAGCAGGTGCCAGGTCTGATAGTCCTCCTTGGTGCAGCGCCGGCTGAAGATAGATTTGTAGTCCACTTTCACCAACTGCCATTCAGAACGGAGGCTGAAGTGGCCAAAAACTCTTAAGTATTTAGGGGAGGCATGGAAGAGACAAGCAGAAAGAGCTCACTAGTTAGTCATTAATACACAAATACTGGAGGGAGAGAGGACTAAATTGCAGTCTGGACGCAAGAGATTCTTCCAAATCGAGGTCTTTAAAGGTCACCAAGGAGAAATTCTACCATTTACACAACTCTAGCCAACTGGCCTGGTATTCACCATAGGTTTAACACTAACCATTTTTTAAGTGTGAAAGTAATATAAGTACTTTATAGAAAGCAATGAAAACATAGAAATATAGAAAGAAAAATTTCATCCAATAGTTCAAAATCTTACACCAAGAGAGAATTGTTTTTGATATTTTAACATGTAGCCTTCTTGTTTCTCCTTAATGCAAGCACAGGTTTTTTATCTACTGATATCTACTGACAGGGACTCAGTTTCCTCATCTGTAAAGTAAATGTATATGTGTATGGTGGAGGTGGAGGTAAATTAGCTAATCTAAAGTGTGGCTGCCAGTTCCAAAATTCTGACAGAATCTAAGTGTGTTTTAGTTGAAATTCCCATTGCTTAATTCACATGAATAACACCCTCCTTTCCCTTCCCTGAAAAATCACAGTAGTCTCATAAAAGGAACTCATATTTATGTATAGTAAAGAAGTGACTTAGATAATCAATACTGACCTTTTCAAAGCCCAGCAGTTGATGGCCCTATAAATATGAATGATCAATCATTTCTAGAAAAACAGGTAAAAAGACTGATCACCCATACTCCACTCGGGTGGCATGTCTTACAATTATAATGCAAGATATATATCATAGAGCTGTAAAGGGGAGACCAATCACTCTGGGAACCTAAACCAACTGAAGTCTTTCAAGGCATTGGATGGCCTCCATTTCAGCAAGACTTATACCAGCCCCAGATTCTCCTCTCCTTATGGTCAAATGTTCTTGTGGTGACATCTAAGAGACCAATTATCCTCGAAAGACAGTCCCTTCTGTTATCTAAAGGATGAAGATGTTTGGGAGGGGTGAGAGTTGTGAAATGGACAAAGAAATAGGAGTGTTTTACAGATCGTACAGCTTATATATTACATCTTCAGAAATGCCTTTTCATGTTCTATCAATTTAAAAGTTAAATACAACTTTTTAAAGTCTTGTCTAAAAGAAGATTAAACAGACTTTGGGGTGCCTGGGGTGCTCAGTTGGTTAAGTGGCCAATTCTTATTTTGGCTCAGGTCGTGATCTCATGGTTTGTGAGTTCAAGCCCTGTGGTGGACTCTGCACTGACAGTAAGAAGCCTGCTTGGGATTCTCTCTCTCTCTCTCTCTCTCTCTCTCTCTCTCTGCCCTTCCCCATTCATGTACTTTCTCTCTTTCTCTCCCGGCTTCCCTCCCTCTCAAAATAAATAAATAAAAACATATAAAATTTAAAAAATAGACTTTGAGGTGAATAAGTCATGCGGATAACAGGCACAACACAGGGAATACAGTCGATGATACCTAGTCATTTTGTATGGTGACAGGTGGTAGTTACACTTGTAGTGAACATAGCATAACATATAGAGATGCTGAATCACTATATTGTACACCTGACACTACTGCAACATTGTGTGTCAACTATTCTAAAAGAACAAAATTAAAAACATATGGTCTTTGTAAGAATCTTAGCTCAGCACTGAATAGTAGAAGCCATGGGGCTAGAATATCTTGGGCTGCATGACCAATACTGTGTGGAGCAGAGTGAATGTAAGCATCCCTCCCATGGGTTCTCTCTGTTCTCTTGCATTTTTTGCTGTATTCATTGTCTCCAAATCCTATACATCCATGCCAGGTCACCACTGAGGTATTTCCACTTTCTTGTCCTGATTCATTTCATAGAAAATTCACTAGTCAGCCCATTTTAAATTTCTAACAAAGCAGTTATATCTTAAAAATGTCTACTTATTTGAATACAGGAGAGTTAAATTGAAAGACTGTCAGGAAAAATAAACAAAAATAACTAGGAGAAGAGCTGATGAGTGTCTTGTTCTGTCTCTATCCAACCTTTCTAAATTTTCTCATATTCAAATGCCACCTCCTCTAGTAAGTCTTCTCTGATTGGAGTACTCTGAGTAGAAGAATATTAGTGATGCTAAACTCAATACTTCCACCTATTCCAAATAGTTTACAGTTATTTCATGGATCACAAAATACATCATGTCTGATTAATGCCATCCTTTCTATGAAAGGATTACTGGGCAGACAGAAGAGGGAAATACAAGGCACACAATTTATCTGTATATCAGCAAGGCATCTGACAGGGTTTCCCATAATAGTTTTGAAGAAAAGATGAAAAAATATGAGCCAGGTGCCAGTAAAATTATGTGACTGAACAGTACCTAATTAAGGCATTAAAATCAACCAGGAGGGAGGGCGTGAGTAGTCAGCTACAAGGTTCTGCTGTCTGATCTTTCCTGTTCATCATTTTTATTAATGACTTGAAGACATGAAAATAATGGTCATCATTGGAAATCACATTTTCTGATGACACAAAGCTAGAAGAAACAGTCAATATGCTTGATGGCAGAATCAGGGCCCAAAAAGGTCTTGACAGACTGAAGGGAAAGGCTGAATCTAATAATGTGAAGTAACAGAGAGATATGTCAGGTCCTTCCCTGCAACTACATAAGTATTGAATAAAGGAAATGAAGCTTGATGCAGCTCAGGTTAAATAAATAAATAAATAAATAATAATAATAGTAATAACGTGGCAACTTAAGAGTTTTCATATACAATGTGATTAATATAAGTAAATACTTCAGAGAAAACAAAACCAGAATGAATTAATTAATGAAGAATTCTGTATACTATCTAGAATGAAAGAAGCGATATCCAGGTCTATTCTACTATATTAACTAGATCACAAAGAAAATTGTAGTTAGTTTTGGATGTCACCATTCAAAGATATACACTAAGTATCTCAAACTAGAATACATGTATGGGCTTTGGTGGTGGAGTGGAGTTTGAATCTCCAGAAATTTTAAATAAAAATATGCATTTACTGGCACATGTGCATTTATTATGGAGAAATTACATATGTTTTATCAGATTTTCAAAGGGATTCACAGTTCCTAAAGCTGAAGGACCATTGAAAAAGACAGTACATAGGATGGGATACTGTATTGGATAGTGGCTTCCACAAGGGACATAAGCACATTCTATTCCCTGTAGCCTGTGATTCTTGACCTTATGTGGACCTTTGCAGACATAAGTAAGTTAAAGATCTTGCAATGAAATCATCCCGGATTAACAAGGTGGGTCCTAAGTGCAATTACAAGCAACCTCATAAGAGATACAAAGAAGAGAAACATGAAAAGAGGAGGAGGCCATGTGAAGAAGAAGCAACGACTGGAGTTATGTGGCCACATGCTAAGGAACAAACACCTAGAGTGCCCAAAAGATGGAATAGGCATAAGGGGGATTCTTCCCTGGTGCACTAGAGGGAGTTGTTCCCTCTTGCCACTTTGATCTTGGACTTTGGTCTCCAGAACTGTTAGAGAATTAATTTCTGGGTTTTTGGCCCCCATAATTTGCAGCAATTTGTTATAGCAGACACAGGAAATTAGTACAGATGGTGATATTATTCAAGACCACTTTTCAGGGTGTCTGGGTGGCTCAGTGGGTTAAGCATCCAACTCTTGATTTTAGCTCAGGTCATGATTTCATGGTTCATGAGTTTCAGCCCCACATCAGGCTCTCCACTGATGGTGTGAAGCCTGTTTTGGATTCTTTCTCTCTCTCCCTCCCTCCCCCTCCCCCACTCGTGTGCATGCGCTCTCTCTCTCGCTCTCTCTCTCTCTCTCTCTCAAAATAAATAAACTTAAAAGAAAAATCACTTCTCATCTATCTATCCAAGAAGTGATGTAAGAACTATGGCTGGTTAAGTAGGCAATGACTTAAGAATGGCAAGGGAGGGGAGACCAATTAGTGGGCTTTCTGGGGCAATCTCTTGAGTATAAAAAACTATCAAGATATAAAAGTGTGAAAGTTTACAAAATGTGAGAGAACTTTCTAATAGACAAACTTGCCCACAAATGAAAGGGATGCTCAAGAGTTAGTAAGCACAGAACTTCAAGTTCAGACTTAACCATTTCCCAGGGAGGCTGTGGAGAAGGATGCAAGCATCACCCAGGTGCCCAGCCTAATTGATCCTGACCCTCTAAAGACATCCATGTTGTTGGTCTCCCAACTCTCTGGGATATCTGTTTCTGGTATTAGAGAGTTCATTTCAGAACTGACCACAAAAATAGGTGCCAAGTCAGGACTTGGGGACTAATTCAGCCGCTGTCTTCTGCAATCTTGCCAGGCATATCCTTTCATCTATATTTCTTTGGCTTCTAGCCCAGATGTCTTTACACTGTATTTCCCAGGTCTTTCCTCAAACTGTAAATTGATACACAAATATTTTTACTTGGGAGTGTGCTAGTCTGCTCTCCCATGTGATCACTTATGTATGCCAGATGCAAAATGTTAGACATTTAATGTTAGGATGATAAGCTTTGCTCATTTTCACATTGGACCCCAACTCAGATCCGTGGACCCTAACTAAAATCCCTTAGGAACTTTCAGATATTAATGTACCCCCATCTCTCTAACCATTATTTATTCTGGGAAGAAAACTGTTCAATGTGGGCTCTGCCTATGGGACATAAGCGACTGCAATGGTCTCTTCTGGATGTATCTGGCTTCTCTAATTCCATTCAATATTGCATTCATTCACAGCTCTTCTGATTAGAACCCATGGAAGCCAAGGAAATGATAGAAATACAGCAAACTTAGCAGGAGATAAAATAAGGACTGATTTAAATTCAAGCATTTCTCATCCTTTTCATAACTACCCTTAGAACAGATGTTAAAATTCTCAATAGGATTTGTAAAAGTGAGAGCCCAGTAGAGAAACCAGGGTGACCATCATGAGAAACCATGTCCCTCACTTTGGGAGGATAATCAATCCACAAGGTGGATTAGGACTAGAGAAAGT